CGATCGATAACTTTTGGTAACTAACATGGACCCTGTGTTGAAAATGAAGCGTGGTTACTCTTTTTGTGGTCAAAGCGGCCGCCTTCGCGCCGCGAACTTTGCGTGGAACTGCTGTGTGGAACGCCTCGGAACGCGTTCGCTTCCCGCAGTTCCAATAGATTTTCCTAGTCTGATAGAAACTGCCACTGTCTGCAACAAAGCACGCTAGCAGTTCATAGTAATAGTTACTAAGTTACTTAAAAACTTAACGATAATTTTCAGTTCTCTCTTTGCAAAGGGCAGCTCACAACTAGTCAATAATCACTAATAGCGGCAAATCACCATTGTTTCTGTCTTTTGCTTTCTTCTTTGACTGTAAAAAAAACGGCGCTGTGCGGAACTGAAATTGCATACATTTTTATAACTATATTTTTATGTTACACAATTTAATTGACCTAATTTTAACACAACTGAAATCACAGGGCTGTTAATGATGTTATAATTTGGTGGCAATCAATAAAAATAAGGAAATTCCATAGTTATAGAAATAATACAATTTTATTATATAAACGCACACACGCACACACTCAACACAGCCCCGCACTAGGGAAACCCTGTTTTGCGTGTGCTATGGACACACACATAGACAGTCACAAATTTTATCATGTGTTATACCTTTGTTTTTATTTATAAAATATAAGTACACATTTGACCTCCATCTCACCTGATGGAAAGTGACAATGAGATCGACGATGGAGCATGCACACCTAAATAATGCCTATTCATTCTCGCCTTGAAAAGTTGTAACGTTCTGGGAACAAGTCTGCAGGCAGGGAATTCCACTCCATAGCCGTTCGCCATATAAATGTGGAAGCGTAACGCTTCGTGCGAATCTTTGGAATATCCAGAACATAGAGGTGGAACCCAAGCCTACGCCTAGTCCCTCGGAGATGGAAAGGGAAAGGCGGAATTAAATCGTGTAATTCCATCGCACACTCTCCGTGATATATCCTGTAAAATACCGATAAGCAGCCAACTTTACGGCGGTGTTCTTCAAGGCTCTGCAGCTTCGCCTCCACTAATTCCGAGTCACCTATAAGCCTCTTGGCACGGTTGTCAATTGAATCCAAAGTGGCCATTTGATATGTAGCAGAGCCATCCCAAAGGTGGCAGCAGTACTCCATGCACGAGCGGATTTGTGCTTGATACAGCTGAAGCGACTGTCCCGGTGTAAAGTAACACCACACCCTAAAAAGGATGCCAAGCTTCCTTACTGCATTTTAGCCCATGGATTCAATGTATCTGCCGAAGTTCAAATTGGTCGACAGATCCATTCCAAATAGCTGGAGACAGTCAGCTATCGGTATGGATATATCACGAAAAGTCCGAGTCTGCTCAAAGGGACTCCGCTTTGTGAAGAATAGACACGCCTGCGTTTTGGTAGCGCTAAATTAGTCAAGATTGGCATTGCCCCAATCGGAGACTGCCTGGAGTGTCAAATCTAAACGGCTAAACATGGACTCTCGACAAGACTGGATTTCCTCTCCACTGACCCTTGCATTGGTCAAGTACCTATCTACAACAGTGCTGTCATCAGCATTACGCAAAGGTACCTGGAATTAACATACCATTGATATGCAGCAGAAAGAGAGTTGCAGACAGTACGGAACCCTGAGGAACTATTACGGAACCCTGAGGATCTACTTATCGCCATATGTTCGGAAGAGTAGCCTTCTAAGACCACCCGAATCGAACGTTCGCTCAAGAAATCCAAGATCCAATTGTAAAGGTCAGTGGGAAGTCCATAAGAGGGAAGCTTACTTAAAAGGCTTGCGTGCCAGACCCTGTCATAGGCTTTAGAAATGTCCAAAGACACTGCAAGTGATTCGCCTTGCTTTTCTATAGCCTCGTTCCATATGTGACAGGCATACAAAAGAAGATCCCCAGTAGATCGCCCTCGTCGGAATCCGTACTGGCGATCACTGAGGAGGTCGTTGTCTTCAAGGTACAACAAGAGACGGTTGTTGAGTACACGTTCCATAGACTTGCAGAGTAAGGAAGTGACTGAGATAGATCTATAGTTGACAGGGTCTGCTCTACTTCCCTTGTTTGGCACAGGTTGCACGTTTGCAAGCTTCGACGACCTGGGAACTACACCAGTCTCAAGTGAGAGGCGTTACAGGCGAGTGAGAACAGGAGACAACTCAGGCGCACAGTTACGCAGGACTATTGCTGGAATTCCATCTGGCCCGCTAGCTTTATTCACGTCTAGATTTCGCAGAGTTCTAAGTACCTCATTTTGGCGTATGCGAACTGGCGCCATAGTGCAGACAGCCTGAGGTAAAGTAGGTGGTAGGATCCCTGCAGCGTCCAGACGCGAACTCTCAGCGAAGAGTGAGGCAAAGAGATGCGCCTTCTCTCTTGCAGTATGAGCCAGCGAGCCATCCGGTCTCAGCAGAGATTGCAAAGATGGGCGACAAAAGTTAGATTCGACCGCTTTGGCCACGGACCAAAAGGATTTGCTGCCTGTTGGATAAGAGGCAAGCTTGCGTAGTCGAGCATTTGCCCAAGCTTGGTACGCGGACTGTTTATGTGCTTCAGCACAACTACAATCAGCGTTAAACCATGGACGAGCTAGGGGTCTATTGGGTACATCAGAGTATGGTATGTAATACTCCATACCCAAACGCTAGACCTCGACTATAGCATCAGCACAGCTCGACGAGTCTCATAAAGTAAAACAAGCGTGCCAAGGATATGACGCAAAGAAATGGAGCATTTCGTTCCAATCTGCTAACTTGTGTCGCCACAACCGTCTCATACCATTAGGGCCCTGATTGGGTGGGGAGTACACGGATACAGTTTTCACCAGACAATGATCGGAAGTACTCAGTGGTGCCTTCACAATCACAGAGTAGCAGTCTGGATCAGTTGTTAACAGAAGGTCCAAGCAATTAGCCGTATGAGACTCAACATCTGGGATCCTGGTGGCGCTACTGACGAGCTGGGAAAGGGCTTAGCGTTAACGCAAGTTTACGCGTCTCCCTCCCAGCGTGGTCGGTCATCTGGTATGGGAACAACCATTCTTGATGGTGTGCATTAAAGTCCCCCAAAATGACTAGTTGCGCCGCTGAGTACCTGAGCTGAGCCTCATCAGACGTCTCGCTCAGACATTGGAACAACATGGTCGTCTCCTGATCTCCACTGTGCGAGCGGTAGACACAACAGTACACTTTGTGTAACTCCTGTGGCAACCACAAGCCATAAAATAGAAAAACTCGGTGCCTCAAGGTTCTTGAGACTCTTGACACAAATGTCGTCGCGAACGTACACACAGACTCCGGCACGAGGTACGAACCTGTGCCCCAGAGTATACCCGGGGTATCTGAGGTACACTGCTTTAGTCCGACATCTGATCTGCAGCTCTGTGAGGAGCAGCAGCTGCGGTTTGTCGGTTTCAAGGTGGTAGTGGACCGAATCGAGATTTGAGTGCAAGACTCGGATGTTAGTGAGGGATCTTTGGCGAAGGACAAAAAAAAGTGTAAAAGAGTCAATCGCGAGTTGTTGAGAAATATGCCATTCGTTTACTGTGCACAGCTACTATTGCAACATGAATATTAGGTTATACCTATTGTAAAAAAAAGATGTTTATTCATAGAAAGGTTACAATTAGCATAAGAAATTACATTTAAGATTACTTCATAATAAAAATTAAGTAAAATTTCTGGGTACTACATGAGTTGAAAGCCATGGGTTTGAAACAAAGTATGATTACTTTATGATTATCACTAATATCAGGTTTCTTACCACGGTATGACTTCTTTTTATTTTCCCGATATTTCATTTATTCAATATTTGATGATCATACCGTGGTAAGAAACCTGATATTAGTGATAATCATTTAGTGAATAACCACGAAAGTCTTAAAATCTATATGATTACTTTGTTTAAATTTTTGCAAAAACAATTTTAGTTATTATTACGTTATTATATAACAAGGTCGTTCTAGCTGATAATATTCTTATACTCAGATAATATTTCGCGAACTATACAAGTATATTTTCGACAAATTCAAGAAAGTGATAGTTGACAGCTAGCAGCTAGTATTATTAACCTTAAAGCTTATTTGATAACAAAATATTCTAATAACTGTACCTGTCTACTGTCTCCTATATGTATGTACCGCATGAAAGACAATGTAATTTTGTATACCAACTTAACACAAAACAATCTTAGAAAATTATACACATACGTTCTGAAAACAAGGTGCCACGTCGCTACAGGTGTATACAGCATTAATAATTTAGAATAAAATACAAAAAAAAGTAACTAAATATTTAAAATTGTACATATCGAGTTCTTAGGTTTTCGCGATTGTTACACATAGGAAATGAAACTATTTTTCCGGATTTATATCGCGTATGTTTGTTTTTTCAAACAAACCAACGTTTCGGGCTCTTTACAGGTCCCATGTCAGTCAGGTCAGTCAGCCGTGACCATGGGACCTGTAAAGGGCCCGAAACGGAAGAATAGTTTAATTTCCTATTTAAAATTGTAATTTAATTAATTGCAATAACTAATTACAGGGGATTTAAGAATCAAAACAATTACTTGCACATGCGAATCAACTGCTTAGTGTTTTCTATATGAAAGATGTCTATGCCACCGTCTCGGTCACAGTCAATTTCATTGTATGACCACATGAGTCTGTTCAACGGAACGTACTTTCCGAGATTAATTTGACTACTAAACGAAACAAATGTGTTGGCAGTGGGGGCTTTGTAATTTGTATAGATTTTTTTAAAATTTCCGTTGTCTTGTAGCCAAACTGTTATATTCCTTTTATGTGACGTGCTGTAGCAGGGTAATGTTTATACAATTTTATATGACTGTGAGCTAAAAATACTTTGATATGATTGTGGGTAACTTGAATGAAAGAAGAATTGAAATGTTTGATACTGCTGATTTAATAGTGCCAATGAATTGTATTGTCTCTTCATTCGGGATTATATCTTCTACAGACTGATTCCCGTTATGAAGTCAGTCAAGATGTAAAAGGACAACTAAAATTCCTCGAAGAACTCGATCGCGTTGACAAAAAGCGACGAGAGGATTCCGAGAGGGAGATGCTTCTTCGTGCAGCCAAATCCAGATCTAAGACTGAGGACCCTGAACAAGCTAAGCTGAAGGCTAAAGTAAGTGAAGTAGACGAAAACCTAGCATTATTGGTTTGAAACAATATTGTTAACTTTTTAACATAAACTTTATTATATCTTAGGCCAAAGAAATGCAAAGAGCTGAACTGGAAGAGCTCCGTCAAAGAGAAGCAAACTTGACTGCGCTACAAGCCATTGGACCTCGCAAAAAGTCTAGATTAGATGGGCCAGGAGGATCTGGAGATTCTGTATCAAGTGGAAGCAATCATGGAGCAAGTGGTTTTGTAAGTACCTTTAATCATTTCTATATCAATGGATAATGTGAAAAAGCTGTCTTTGTGTCGCAAATATTTCGAGAATATTTCGAAATATATAGATGAGTTACATTGCTGGGATTCGATATTGATTCTAATGTCAATTGGAAAGCACACGTAAAACCAGATTATGAAAATTCGTACATGCTCTAAGAGAAGGTAGTAGGTAGGTAGGTTTTGTAAGAAGGCATCCTCAATTTTACACGAGTTAAAAGACCAAGCACGACGCTTGAGATAAAATATTTTTTTTCAATAATTTAGTTTTACTATAACAGAATCAACATTAAAATTACACAGCGGTAGCCCAAATTCAAATTACACAGCGGTAGCCCAATAAAAAAATTTGCAATATGATACAAACTTTAGGAAAGTTATCACAGATCTTTTTACTCATTGGAAGAATATTTTAATGATTAATTCTTATACATCATAAATGAATACATTAGATTAAAACTTCGTTCTGTCTCTGCCTCCCGTCACTGCTACGCCCTTCTGTGTTTCATATGTTTGATGTGCACTCATTAAGAATAAAAAAAGGCGTAATCGCGACCAACAGATGATTGGCGGCTGATAGTAATAAATGATGCATTGAAATTGCAGCGACGTGACCATTTTTGGTAAGCGCTCGAGAGGTGTGATGTCGAGTCATAAATAAAGGAGAGAGAAAATTGAGATAACGCCCTCTCGCACGTCATGCGAAATTCATGTTTATTTGTACAGTCGTTTTTGAAAATACTTTTCATTGTAGACGAGCCGCAGTCAGATGGCACTACGGACGCGGTTGAAGCGCATCAACCACCGTGACATGATGTTCCTCCTAGAGCAGGAGCGCGATACTGCGCACTCGCACTTGCTCTTCCGCAGCTATCTTAAGTGACCCAGCACCGAAAAGGTTATCTTCATCTGTAAACACAAAGGAAAATTGGTTGGTGCAGTAACCTAGCCCGTTCCAGGCGGTACTCAGCCCTAAAGCAAGCATTACCTTCGACGAGAAGATTATACAATACTGCTTAAGTGCTTAGTATCGTCTACAAATGTCAAAGACAGTGCAATATAGACACAACAGGTCATGTTTAGTTAATTAGTGTTGTCGTACTCCAGTAAGTAATAATTTACTTTTATAGTTTAGATGTTTGTGTGGTAATGTACAAAATGATTCGGTGTACTATGATTCAATTAAATTAACTGTTGAACATTGCGAAGTTGGTTAATTAATGTATAAGTGTGCTAATATTAACGTAATCACTTATATTTGTTTTTTTTTTCAGAGAAACCTAGTTTTCGGGCCCTTTACGGGTCCTATGCTCAAGGCTCACTTACTTTTTATGTTTACTTTTTCTCAATATCCATTTGACTGACTTAGTTTGTTTCAAGAGTTGCAATAAAGTAAATTGTTTATTATTTTGAATCAATATTTACGGAACGTGTAAGTAAAACATATCGCCGATAAATGGGAATATTTCCTAACAGTGGAAATATGCAATTTTCTTTTAGTAATATGAAAAAGTATCTGAAATAGTAAGTTAATTTACGTGTTTAAGTATTGAAAGTTTACTCTAGGGATGATGGACTATCTTGCTGCCCCTTATTTTCTCATCTACCTACAAAAATATTGAAAATCAAAATGGAAAAGACTAACATAATATGTGTAAGGCCAAGTATTAAATGAGAAATGGTCACAAGCAAGCTATTAAAGTAAAGAATGGGTGTTTATGGTCACAAACATAAAAAAACCTGGTTCTTTAATTTTAATACCTTGCCTATTTGTGACTACGATTCAAATTACATAAATGCCAAACGGACGAGCAATAAAATCTGGTATCCAAATAAAATTAAAACTCTTTTAGTTCTTTCGTCTAAAAGTGAAATTTGTTTGAATCAATGAATGCATAATTGATTTTGCATTGTATGAATATATGAATTGCTAAACCTACCTATTATTTCCGACTTTCCCTATCATATTCCGTAACTGGGTGGCTGTAGGGTTGAATAGCAATACAGTTAGTTAATTATGACTTGCTATCCCATTAGGACCACAACGCAATAGATATGGAAGAGTGAAGGCAATAACTTTTTCGTGCAAATAAAAAATATTTAGTTATTATTTACGATCATGGTCATCTGAAATTTTATCAAATTGCTTTATTTGTTATTTTGACTTTTGTCTGATCGGTTTGTTTTCAAAAACATTTTAAACGTAACATGTAAGGTGTCCATAATGTCAGTATTAATTTGGGATTTCTAATAATTTATTAATAATACCTTTTGCTGTAATTATTATAAAAATCCCTAAATTCTTGAAATCATAATCATTTACTTACTGAAATCACAACAGCGTGATTTTACTTGTGCACATACCGCGGTGGTTTAGACTCATAGCATTGGTATACGGCGGCTGACATAATCATCGTTATGGCTGCGGTTGCGGGATTGGGCAGTTGTGGCATGCGCCTTTGTGTACGTACTCCAGTGTCTGTTCTAAAAAAATATTCAATCATCAGCTTACTCGCTCGAACGAATAACAACTAAAGAATTCTCCTGTCGGCTTCCTTCTCGAAGTTGTGCTTACCAAGCAAGAGTAACTCCACCTAAGATTACAGGTCTCGGGGTCACGTGTGCATTGAACATAACTTTCGTTTTGTCCAAGTTCATCTTACACTGTGAAGAATCGTTCAGTATCTATAACAATATCATCTGCAAACCGAAGGTGTGAGATGTACTGCCCGTTGATGTTGATCCCCGTTCCCTCCCACTCGAGCACCTTGAAGACGTCCTCCAACGTGTTAGTGAACAGTTTCGGAGAGATGACATCTCCCTGTCTCACTCCACGACGCAGTTTATTGGTCTTATGCTCTGTCCTTGTACTTGGACGGTCATCGTCGCTATAGCGTAAAGATTTTTATCTCGAAGTAACGGCATTTTATCTGACATCTCTGCAAGGAGTCCAGAACAGCCCAGATCTCGATGGTGTCGAACGCTTTTTCCTAATCCACATAAGCCAGGAACAAGAATCGGTTATATTCTTCGGTCTTCTGAATAATTTGTCTCAAGGTATGTATGTGGTCTATAATACTTGAAGCCTTTTCGAAATCCAGTCTGTTCCGTCGGCTGAAAATCATCGAATTTTCGGTCAAGACGATTCGTGATAATGCTCGAACAGCTTATGTGCATGACTCAAGGTCGACATGAGTCGATAGATTTTCAGAAAGGTCTTGTCCCCCTTTTTAAAAGCAGGACCACCGCGCTCCAGCTCCATGTCTCCGGTATAGTGCCAGTGTTGAGAACGGAGTTGAAATTAATAAAATAGATCGGCCAGCTTTAATGAGTGCTATCCTAATCTCGCTCACGTCGATGTCATGATGACGTGATGAAAGACCCATCTTTTCTGGGCATGTAAGTCCGCATAAAATTTTTCTACTTCCGCGAGTACTTCTGGTTTAGAGGTGACCGTGTTTCCCTGAGATGTTGTCAGCTTTTCAGGTGACAAGTAAAGATTGAAGATTTTGCGAAGACTATGAATCTTTGTTATTTTGTATGGCTTCATGAATATATAATCTTTGCATTGTATAGGCGGATGTTATGCCGTATACATTTCTTTACCTCTTTGTCAAGTATCTGACGTTCTAGTGCGGTAGCATTAACAGCTTCACGTCTTTCCCTCATTACTTCGCGGGAGAGCTTCGACTTTCGTCCATTGCTCGTTTGTCGAAAGTGCTTATATCCTACATCGCGGATGTGCCTCATCAAGTTATTAGTGGCGTCGTTGACTTCATCAGGGGTTTCCAGTAACGCAAAACGATTCTGCAGGTCTATTTGAAACTTTTCGGTTCCAACTTCCGTCTGGAGTAGTGTTGGCCGAAGAGTCGACCTCATCAAAGGCGCTCGTTCGAGTCTAATGTTAATATTCAGAGTGTCTCATATCATTCGGTGTTCACTACTTGTATTGAACCTATTGACCACTGAGGCATCTCTGAACATATATCGCTTGTTAGTTAAGATGAAGTCGATCTCATTTTTCGTCCTCTCATAAGAGCTCCGCCACGTCCCCTTTCTTTGGGGCTTCTTTTTGAAAAAGGAATTCATCATGAAGAGCCCTAACCTACCTAATAAAGTAATCTGACCTCGTCCTGCCGCAGCGTGCGTCCATTATACGTAGCCAGATTCAGTTGACTGCAGTTGGCAGCCCTCCGTAGCCCGAGGATTCTTAGCACCAACCCGCCCCCCCTGCCGTTACCGTGACCGCCACCGCAATGACCAGAAATAACGAAGCTATCGAGAACTGGGGGCCATTTTGACGTTGTAGTGCTGCTCATTTAGGGGTAATGCCCTAATCACCGCGCTGGACAGGCGTGTTGGTGACCGCAGTTGGAAACTTATTTCGGCGATAATGCTGCGGCCCATTATAGTTTACTACGTTCGTTGACTAACAGGATGCACCACGAACAGGTGAGGTTAGTCAATCTCCCCTGTTTGGTTGGTTAGTCAACAGTCGTTCGGGAGCCTATAGGGATGGTAGTCAATATCCCCATTGCAACCCAAAAATGTTTTTTTTTTATATAATCTAATTAAATTAATCTAATCTCTTAATTGTCTACTTATTTCAATTTGTCCATTATTGTATAATTTTATTTTATTTATAAGCATGACATTGTACAATACAATGTTTTTTTAAAAATAAACTAGTAATAGCTACATACTGTTACGTTATAGGACACTGCGTGTTTGAAACGTAGACAAAACAATCTGCATTGTGCTAGCTGTCGCACAGCGTCCCCTCCCGCGTGTCCAACCACGCCTGTTGCGTCGCAACCCGACTCGGAACAATCGAGTTGTATTTTTTTGTTACTTAATTGCAATATTTTGATCTATACAACACACAAATAACACATAATGAACACATAGACAAGTATTTACGTAGTTTATTCTATTTTATTTACGACACACACATCCAAGGTCCTTACTTACCTTATGTTGCTTTTTTTCTTGTTTTGTATTTCTTATTTTGGTTTTTAATTACTTTTATTTTGCTTTGTCTGTCTGTCTGTGAGTATTTTTAATCCATTGCTTGTATCTATGTGTTGTGGTGTTGCAATAAATGTCTGTTCTATTCTTACTGAATTCGAAGCAATGGATCGGGATCACGACACCGCAGTCACTCTGTATAAACACATTTAGGCAATTATCTCGCAGTGGGTTATATTTTGTTAATACTAGAAATATCAAAAAGATACCAATTATGTAGTCGATATATAACAAATAATTCTACCCACAAGTTTAAATAACTATGGTCTCCCAATATAGCATAAAATGAATGTCCACATTTATGAGTAGAATCTGTCTTGAACAGTTGCAAATGTTCTTTATCATTTATCAGCACGTCCCGAATTTAAAAAAAACTGATTTTTACTTACTACTTTACTTTTTACGAAATTGAGTAAACTAGTTATTTATGTATAATAATAACGAAATATTGTTGAAACTATAGAAACGACAGAAACCTTGTCGAAATTGGTTATCATTCTCTTTGCACTTTGTATGAAATAAACTTTGATTGTACATAATTAGCATAAACTTGCAGAATTCTTATACACTGTAACATAGCCCTATACTGGTTATCAAAATTGTACATAAGTGTTATATTATAATGTTAGCTAATATTATAGATATTGAGAATGAACAATTAGGCCTGACCCAAATATATAAAAATTACAACAATAAGTCAATACTTACATAGTGTTTATAACGAATTTCAGCTTTTTAGCTCGATGTCGAGTTTTGATTAGGTGACATGCCAGAAGATTTGGTGGAATTGTGTAGCCTGTGCCCGATGTCACTGGAGTCTTAATGACATAAGTGAAATTTGTACAGCTTAAACACTGTTCACGAAAAGTATAATAGCTAATAAGTTACTATAATTTACATTTTACGCATGCAGCTGTTCAATATTGCGTAGAATCTTAACTGCTCAACTCCCATTACAAGCGTGTAGCTAAGGTTATAATATATGTATTGTTTTTCCCAAATGATAAAAAGTGTTGTTAAGTTTTACTAATTACGCTGTGGAGGCACATATATAGGATTTTATTGCTAATATTTCTTCGCCCTATTTGAACAAAGATATTTATGGCCTTTGGTTTATTTTGTAGCGAAACATTCCATAATTAACTTAAAGGCTAGCAAGGTTTTTGGACCCTGTCATCATGGCGATAAAACAGATTTTATGTGACTATTCACAAAGCTCTCAATTAACTTGTATAAATATCTTAAACATTCACATTTTTTCCCAAATAAAGTACAGTCAGGGTGAAATCGCCTGAACAGATTGTTAACTTATTACCCATCCAGATGAATTGGTTGGTGAAACTCATTATTGAAAACTTTTGTTCGGTCATTGTAATTGCGTGCTTTTAAATATTACGCAAACTTACAGGGATAATAATTATTCATGTTAATATACTGTACTGTAAATTAGTTCTTGTTCTGTTAAGTGCATATTATACTTTGATAGCTGGGAAACAGTTGCTAGTGGTTTTGCCAAATACATTTTGTCTGTAAATTCCTCCTTTTCAAATCGATAATCGAGTTGTGTTTAACGGGAGTTAAGCAAAACCCTACATTAAATATAGTAACCCCTTTCTGAAAATAATACATCGAAGAGGTAGATGATGTTTTTTACTCCATTTTGGCGCATTTATACCGGCTCGTCTACCATCTTCGGCAGACTACTTCGTGCTGCCGAAGGCGAGTCGCCTGCCGCCTTCTTTTTGTCGCGGGGCCACAGCCTTGGACTTGTTGAAACCTGTTCGGTCTACAGTCTGTCGTTTTCCGAAGGCGACCGTGATCCCCATAGCGTTTACACTCAGTTGCTTCGGGCAACTTCGGCCACGAACTAATGTCGTCAGACGACTCTCTATTTCCACCCGGTAGCTTGCCGATCGTCGTCGCACACCGTTTTTTACCCCTAAAATCGGACATGCCTGTGTTGACAAAAGAGTCAGAGAAAACGTTTCATTTCGAATGCATGAGTAAAATTGCCATGAGTCTCACTACAATAGTTTTGGAGAAAACCTCGACCAAAATTTATGTCTCGTATTTCGTATTTTTTAAATAAGATTCTAGTAACCAAATTGTTACAGCTAAGTAATTCGTTAAATTGTTTTTTGAAAGGTCTTACTTGTATATTACAAACGTTTTTTGGCCGCGCTGACACATATAAGCTGCAAGTAAACCGCCATTTAGTCATTTTTTACTTTATTTTTTTCTGACTTTATTATATGCTAGTTGGATTTGCAACTTGCTTTAAAACCTAGCTGCACATAAAGACTAATTCCATAAAAAAAAATCAATTACCAACTCCGCATAATTTCCGAAATAATAATTTATAAGTTTTCGGGAATGAAGGTTTCGAGACATCCCCGGGATTTTGAAGCTATGATTTTTATTGAATGAAAGGCAAGCTTACTAACTATTTACTCTGTTTTAAATATGTAAATATTACCCCATTTGTAAGTGTCTGCTACCAACTCTTATGGATGAATACCCGAATTTCTTTTATTTCATTTAATTGTAACGCCATCACTAAAGTATTTTATTCAATTTTTATTTAAATTTAACATGAGCTATTATAAGTATTACTTTGTTTGTTGATAGACAATATGATGCGGGAAGGAGTGCATCATTATTAAATTGCTAAAACCTTGCAAGTACATATTGATCCAATAAGTAAAAAAGTCACAGTACAATTGTATCGTTACACAAAATGAGATAACAGCAAAACAATCCAAATGTGTGAGGGAGACAGTTATAGCTGAATGAATAGAGAAAACCACAAAATAACACCCAAACGCATGACAAACACAAGGCGAATAAGAACACTTGCAAAAATCGCACGTTATTGGGTTGTAGGTCACTTGCACTTGCACACACACATGCAGCTATAACTGTCTCTCTCGCACATTTGGATTGTTTTGCTGTTATCTCTTTCTGTGTAATCATACAATTGTAGTGTGACTTTTTTACTTGCACATTATTTTGATTATTGAGTCAATATGTACTTTTGCAAGGTTTTAGCAATTTAATAATGATGCACTCCTTCCCGCATCATATTGTCTATCAACAAACAAAGCAATACTTAAAATAGCTCATGTTAAATTTAAAAAAAGTTGAATAAATAAAATATATTATTGATGGCGTTAGAATTCAATTAAATAAAAGAAATTCGGGTATTCATCCATAAGAGTTGGTAACAGACACTTAGAAATGGGGTAATATTTACATATTTATAACAGAGTAAATAGTTAAGCTTACCTATCATTCAATAAAAATCATAACTTCAAAATCCGTGATGTCTCGAAAACTTTAACGTCCCGAAAACTTATAAAATTGTTATTTCGGAAATTACGCGGAGTTGGTACTTGATTTTTTATTGCGGAATTAGTTTTTATGTGCAGCTAGGTTTTAAAGTAAGTTGCAAATCCAACTAGCATATAATAAAGCCAGAAAAAAATAAAGTAAAAATTGGCTACATGGCGATTCACTTGCAGCCTATATGTGCCAGCGCGGTCAAAAAACGTTTGTAATATGCCTACAACTAAGGCCTTTCAAAAAACAATCTAACGAATTACTTAGCACCAACGATTTGGTCACTAGTTTCATTTTTTTTAAATACTAAATACGGAACATAAACTTTGGTCAAGATATTCTCTAAAACTATTGTAGTGAGACTCAAGGCAGGTTTACTCATGCTTTCGAAAAGAAACGTTTCCTCTGACTCTTTTGTTAACACAGGCATGTCCGATTTTAGGGGTAAAAAAAAACACTGTGCGGCGGGTAAGCGACGGCGCCTGTCGACTTGCTTTAAATGCGCCATTAGAAACCACCGCTCTACTTTTCCCATCTACTTCACATCCCCTGATTCAGTTATTTTGCATCTATTAGACCAAACAGTGCACTTATTCGTGTATTTCTGATTCAACTTTGACACGACTTGACAGCTAAGCGTTTTACATGAAATTAAGTAAGACCGTTGAAATAATTGCAAATTTCGCAAAGAGACAAGAGTCCAAAACCTAATGGCCTTTAAAAGTTTAGTTGTTTTGAATTTTATTGTTTTTGTTATTTGAGTAGTTTGTATAAGAGGGGTAATATCATAATTGTATATTATACAACATTCAAACACCTTTGCGCACATTTTTTATTTATTAATTTTTCATTTAGTCATTTATTTCAGGCCACATGACCCGTATAATATATACCTTAATGACTAACATACTTTCTACTACTAATAAACTAAATAACTACTCTACACTAAAAGCACTTGTCGGCGACTTGTGGTGCAATCTGGTGTCAGGTAACCAGCCGCGGAAACACCGATACGCGACACGCTTCGGCCAAAACTCGGCCTTCATGAAGGTCGACAGATATTCAGTCGGTACTCTCGCAACAGGTACAGCAGCGTCATCGGCATGGCCGGACGCAGCAATAAGTTAGATCCTGTCGGTACTGTCCACACAGTTACGGCTGGCGGGTTTCCTCTTCCTCTTCACCACCTTTGCAAAGCCATCCTCGTCACCCTGGTCCGTCTACCTCTGTGGTTTTGCAACTCGAAGACAGACACACGGGGATTGCTTTTGCTCTTAGCCGATTGCCGCCGGTCAAGTTTCGAAGTGGTGGGTCGAGTTTAAAAGCGGCGTATGCACGTGCAGGGGCTGGCATACACGTGACTTTTCTGCCAGAGCGAAGGGGCGGGAAGCAGGGTGCGGCACATGACGCACGATAGCAGAAGCGATCGGTGACGCAACCCTTTGTGCCGACTCGACACTGTTGATGGATGCATTGTGCGCCCCACGACGCGTGATTAGAGGCTTCTGGTGACCTATATACAGAAGCAGTGTTGCTTAATAACGTATCTTGGCCACGCAGCTCACTTATGGTGTTATCTGAAGCCTCCAATCTACACTAACTTGGCCAGGCTTGACTTCAGGGAAGTAATATCATCTTCAGCAGCCTGGTGATATCGACGTGGTTGAACGTGACGGGGGGCAGCTTGTGCAGCTCCTTCGCCACGAATGTAGGCACGTCATCCAGGTCAGTCTCCTTCAGGAGTGTGATTATATCCTGGAGACTCTTCACGCCTCCATCCTCTCGGCGACATGGCATCAGCTCGGTTTTACCGAAACTCTGGAACGTCAGCATCTTGCCACTGCAAATCTCATCCTCGTTGTAGTTGAATTTGCAGATGTGCACAATGCTGACCTCGTCCATGGTGTTGATGGTATGTTGGATAAACGCCAAAAGCGCTGTTACGTAGCTGTTAAGAGCTGTTGGGAACTCATTGCCACTTGCTTGAAACTCGAATTATAATAATAATTCTCACTGCGTAGTGGAGCGCGTTCGTTTCCGAACTGCACTGCACTACACATTGACTAGCGTGATTTGATTATAGGGATGTACTGATAACTAAATGCAGTGGACACTGCGTATCTTCCGACTTCTTTTTGGGGATCCTCTCTTAGGTTGGACAACGTCATAGCAATCCCGACTTCGGAGGCTGCAGCTCTTAAGAGCGAGGTGGTATTGCAGCCAAACCATTCCCACAAATTCTTTAACACTTCGTTTTTCGACGATTTTGCCCTAGACGATAAGCCGGAGTAATTTGTACTTATCGTTCCTCGTAACACGGCCTATAACTTTGATAGCTGGCTATCTTCCGGCGCTTAGTGCTTTTCATGAGCTCCACGTTTTTCTTTAGTTTATTGAGTACTTCACCATTTGTAACCCGGCCACACATGAGATTCCCAGGATACGGCGGTTAAACTACGTCTCAAAAGTCTCTCAACTTTTAGGTATCAACTTCAAATCTTCTAACATAATGTGAAAGAATTCCTCATATTTTTGTTGATTATTTTAAATTTTAGTTTCACTGATCTCAGGGTCGTATTCTAGAACTCTACTCAATGCTGCGACTCTGAGACATCCCTTGCAAATTAGAGAATGTTTTAGAAAAAGAAACACTTATGATGTTTATACTTAATTTTTTTTCAAAAATCTGATGCTATTGCCATAATATAGCATAATATCTAATTGTTCATGCACCATAAGATACACTTAGATTATATTTAATTAATAGGTATCAATAGTTTTATGTAACAGGATATTAAGTACACAAAAACTAATATAGTGTGTAATTTTTATTATATGGATAATTATTTAGATTTTTATATTTATATATTCGTATTCATTATAATTTGTATAGTGTTCCAACTTCAAAATTAACCTGCAAGTATTCAAATTTTAAATGTTTTCACATTTTGTTAATCAATGGGTAGTTGACTTTTGTACTGCATCCTAAAGCTTGCTTGACAGGTGGCAAAGAATTTTTTTTGTTATATTTATAAAAATCAGGGTATGAGTGTGCACCTTCATTATGATGAGGCTGCTCTTTGTCCAGTCGACTTTACAGATATTTCAAGGAGTCTGGATGTATTATAGATTTACCACTAGGCTGTGTAGATAACTATACTTTAAGATAGTTTGATCTTTCAGATTATGAGGCGGACTGTACATACCTTTTCTATGGTTTTACATATGAGCTAAATTCATAACTGTAGCAGTTACATTTTATTGCTTTGTAAAACTAATTCGATAAATATTTTTGTTTGATCCTGTAACACTGCAGTGTAAGTATATTTGTAATTTGCTTTACATTTGGCACCACAACTTAAATTACATGCAAATGTTTAGTTCAACCGAAGTAAAATAAAATACAAATAAGGACACTTGTTTTCTACACTTTATATCGAGACATGCCCAACAATATAAGATTTCAATATAAGGTATATATACAATGTAATACCATGTTAACGTATTGTTCAAGTTTTATAACAATGCACTGCCAAATTATCTAAAATAAATTTGTATTTGAACACGAAATACTCAGAAAAGAGACAT